TTTGCCTAAAACAGAACGGGAGAAACATGCTCCATTCATAACATCCGGCAAACAAAATTAAGATGTAGCTATATCTTTTCTTAATTGATGTTTCTTGCTCTTTTTCAGTAGTAGTTATTAGATTTTTCCATATTTTTTCCCCCAATCCATCTGAATTCCTCAGCTTATACTAGTCCCCCCAACAACAAATGAGCATTACGTTACCAAATATAATATTTCAAAATTCTTTTCTTATAAAATAAAATTGTTGTACAAATTTGTGATTTTTAAAAATATATCTTGTACATATGGAAATATGAGAACTTTTCATTAAAAAAAATATGAGATTCATGTAAGTTGTTAAGATTAATATGATTTTTAGTCTAGTTTGTGAGATAGTGTGATTTGTTGGTGGTTGTGGAATTAATTAAGTGAGGTATAAAATATGAATAATCATGATTTAATAATTTAGTGTATGAGTTCAAATTATTAACTTATGATATTTACCATGCATATATATATATGAATCATTAGCTTCACAACGAAATTCGAGAAATGCAAATTTATATCACTTTTAAAATTTTAAAAATAAAAAATATCCTTGATTAAAAGTTTTAAAAAATTGTATTCTTATTTGTTTCTATTTTATTTTAGTTGTCAAACGTTTCTAATTACAAGGATAATATTGCTCTCCATTTGCACTTGTACAAACTTCGATTCCTTGACGCCATAGGTCTTAGATTTGTGTTTGGTTGCGGAGAAACATGTTCTCTCTCTCTTTTTTCCTTTTTTTTTTTTTTTTGCCCAAAACAGAAGGGGAGAAACATGCTCCACTCGTAACATATGGCAAACAAAAATAAGACGTAGCTATATCTTTTCGGAATTGATGCTCCCTGTTCTTTTTCAGTGGTAGTTATTAGATTTTTCCTTTTCTTTTCCCCCATTCCATTAGAATTCCCCAGCTTATACCATTCCCCCAACTACAAATAAGCATTGCATTGCCAAATATAATATTTCTTCTTTTTTTTTTTGGATAAAATAAACTGGGTGTACAAAATGGAGATTTTTTAAAATATCTTTTATATATGTAAATATGAGAACTTTTCCTTAAAAAAAAAAAAAAAAGTAATGAGATTCTTGTTAGTTATTTTTAGTTTACTATTTGTAGGACAATGTGATTTGTTAGTGGTTGTGGAATTAATTAGATGTAAGATACAAATATTCATGATTCAGTAGTCTAATATTCTAATTATTAACTTATGATATTTACCATACATATATTTATATATATATGAATCATCAGCTTCACAACAAAATTCAAGAAAATGCAAATTTGTATCACTTTCAAATTTTTGAAAATAAAAAAAAAAATAAAAAGGTTGTCCCACTTTCAAACCAAGAAATAGTCAAGGATTGGATATGAAATTATGAATGGGACTAAATAAATTTTCCCGCCATTATCCAACTAAAAAGAAGGAAAGTTGTCCTTTGTGGGTTATCTCTCTTCAGTCTACAAGGACAAATTAAAGGATATATTCCTTTTTCATCTGCCCCTTGGAATGAGGAGCATTTCTTTGCTTTTGGGTATTTTTTTTTTGAAAATAGGTAATGGATTACTTTTGGTATTTAAGAGGTGTAGTCCATGGGGATGGCAATCAAAAAAGTCAACTTTGGTGGCCAGTCATTTTTCACCCACTAAAATGCTCATCTGTGTTGCTCATAAACTTCCTTTTTTTCCTTTTTTTTCTTTTTTTCAATTCCTCTCTTTGGCTTTGGGTGCAAAAGTTGGTTTGGGTTTTTGCTGTTGTGTCCGGTGCTGTATTTTGACCTTCTCATATTCCACAATGGCCTGACCCTACTTGTCTCCATTGCCTTAACCAAGGATCGATTTGGTAGATTTTGCAATCTTATCCATCTGTTACAATCCAACTAAACATTTCAACTACTAATTAATATATGCCTGAAAAGTTTCCAACCTCAAGAAAATTGATTCAATCATATAAGTGTTGAGTTAGTTCACATTGTGAGTAGTGATAAAGTTATGAATGAAATTCTATGTTAAAGACATAGAGTAAATAGGTGGTTTGTATATATAATAACTCACAAACTTAATATGTTTACTTTTTGAGTTCAAAATAATGTTTTCACAAATTGAGTCATTTTTTGTATGTATCAGTAATTTGATACCTCTTTTATGTTCTCATCGACCTAAATTGTTTTCTTAGTAATAAGAACACTAGTTAAGAATTTGAAAAATTTTTAAATTGAATCCTCCATCTTTAAAGTTAGCATGTACACATTGTAAATTGAAAATTGGATTCGGTATCGAAAAGCTCTGCCTATTGCTTTGGCTAAACCTAAATCTTATTGTAAATTTCAGGTTAGAACCATAACTCTTAAAGTGAATGTATAATTGTTGCAAATTGAAAATACTTTTGACAATCTCTAGATGATGTTTAGGTAAAGGATAATGATTGCAAAGATAACACCTGCCTTGTAAAATTTCCCTTTCCCAAATTACCCAATATTAAAAAATAATAATAATAATAATTAACAGTCTTTCGGTACAATTTAGCTGGAAAATTTCAATCTTCCTACTGGCTACTTGTTTTAAAAAAATAAATAGACCGCATAATGGTAATTAATCCTCATTTCATCCACGTACATATGTAGCCAATACATATATCATGTCACCCAAATCTAACATCTTTTACTTTAATTTTTAGATAGTTAATTGGCTTAACTACTTTTTGAGAAAAAGAAGTTCTTAAGATTCTTCCACTCTGTTCATAATATTACCAGAAAGATATTGTCTCCACATGAAAATTCCAAATCTGCGCTAAGTGTGTGTTGTCTGTTCAAAGCAACACAAATTTTACAGAAGATTCAAATTCTGCAGCAGAAAACCACTTGTCTTCAATCATGGGTCTTTTCCTTTCCTTGTTTTAAATATCATTGTAGTTTTAAAA